TCTCCAGACATCCCTGGGGATGAGAGTCAGGCTCTACATACACCATCAAGCAGCCCACAGCATCTCTTGGATCCCACCTGGTTCCCATGGTAAGCGTGTCCCTTCTTTCATCCCTTATTCTGGGGGGAGGTGCTACTCCCTTGAAAAATGCTGCCCTAGGCAAGTGCCTTGTTGCCTTGTGGTAAATACGCCCCTGAGCAGATCACCGGTAAATGCAGTTGCTGGTTATTGGCTGCACTTTCCTCACTCTGTCACAGCATGAAGAAAGAAAGGAGGACAGATGGGCACCGATCATCAGGGCACTGATGATCAGTGCCCAGCATTGCCACCCAGCAGTGCCCCCCACAAGTGCCCAGCAGTGCCACCCACCTTTGCCCATCAGTGCCTAGTAGTGCCACTCACCTGTGCCCAGCAGTGCCACCCATCAGTACTGTCTATCAGTACAGCCTCATCAACGCACATCAGTGAAGGAGAAATATTACCTGTTTGCAAAATTTTATAATAGAAACAAAGAAAAACTTTTTTTTAAGTGTCCGGTAGGCAAGTGATTAAAGTACAACTAAAGGCTTCTGCAAGCCAGTCTAACCTAGTTACTACATAAAGTCTCATAAAATAAACAAAGTATCTTCTTTACCTTCCCCGACAAGACAAATCTTTCTTCATTTCTTACATGCTCTCCCTCCCAGACACTGCAGCTCACAGTGGGAGTGTTTTAGCAGCAGAGGCAATGCTGTCAATCTAGAGAGCAGTGGGCAGGGCTAGGTGTGGCCAGATGCTGATTGACAAGCTAAAAGCTTGTGAATCAACAATGACAATGCTGCTGGCCACTCCACCTCTGAACAGAGCAGCATGATTGTCACATTATCACAGCAAGCTGTATTAGATGGAAGTCACTGGGGCACTCCAGTTTTTGTGGAACTCTATAAGGTAACAAAGAGAAGACTGTAAGTGTAAAAAGGTTTATAATTAAACTGGTATTAAATCCAAAACCAAATATTTATTATATTGCAGCTTACCAATTCTTAGATGGAAAGCCTGCATAAGTTTTCTTTTTTAGGCTTTCTTTCTTCTATTTTCACCTGGTGATCTGGACAGTAAGTCTGTTATTTTTCAATAGAAAAGTTAAGTGTTGAGACAAACTATTTACCACTGACAAGGTGCTTATAATGATCAGCATTTATTTATGTAAACCTTTATCCCAAAAAGAAAAAAACATTGCTTGCTTATTACGTTTGTGTAACTGCAGTGTTAGTTGGAGTTTGGCTTCAATTTGCTAATGTATTTAAATCAAGGGCAGCACAGTGGCTAAATGGTTAGCACTTCCACCTGGCAGTACTAGGGGTCGCTAGTTTGAATCCCAACCACGGCACCACCTGCCTAGAGTTTGCATGTTCTCCCTGTGCCTGCGTGGATTTCCTCTTGGTCCTCCGGTTTCCTCCCGCACTCCACAAGACATGGAGTGTGGGAGGAATTGGTTAATTGGCTCCTGTCTAAATTGTCCCTAGTATGTGTATGTATGAATGTGAGTTAGGGACCTTAGATCGTACACCCCTTGAGGGTTAGGGACTGATGTGAATGTACAATATATATATAAAGCGCTACGTAAACTGATGGGGCTATATAAGTACCTGAAATAAATAAATACATAAATCATCTATTTCATCTAACATTCCACTCCCCCCAGACTGACAATGCTGCTAGCTGCTGTGTCAGCTGTTCTCCTGCATTCAAAGTGGGGGCACTCTAGCTCAGGACGTGTGTTACTGTGTTGACCAGGTGAACATTTTTGGTTTTGAGTTTAATACCTCTTTAAGTGCTGCAGCACATATGTTTTGTTCAGTTGCAAACTGCCCTACCACTTTTTTTTACTGACAAAACTTGAAAAAAAAATTTTTTTACTGACAACCTGAAATATATTACATAATTGGTAAGGCTGAATAAAGACACCAGTCCATCCAATTCAACCTGTGTGTGTGTTCATGTCACTACCATTTTCCATAGCCCTGTATACTGCATTCACTAAGAAACACATCTAAAAGTTTTTTTTTTCTTTTAATTTATCCACACTCCTTATTGATACCACCAACCGTGGCAGGGAGTTCCACATCCTTACAGCTCGAACAGTAAAGAACCTTTTACTCAATTTAAGATTCAACCACTGCTCGTCCAACTTCATTGTGTGGCCGCGTTTCTTCCTTAGAGACCTTAGGATAAATAGTTTTCTCCCAATGCTAGAGCCACCATTTAAAGATTTGTATATTGCAATCATATCACCTTTTAAGAGTCTCTTTTCCAGGGAGAATACATTTAACCACTTCAGCTCTGGAAGGTTTTACCCCCTTCATGAGGCCATTTTTTGCTATTCAGCACTGTTTTAACTGGTAATTTCGTAGTCATGCAACACTATACCCAAACAAAATCTATTTAATCTTTTCACACAAATAGAGCTTTCTTTTGGTGGTATTTGATCACCACTGGGTTTTTTTTATTCTTTATTATATAAATGAAAAAAGACAAAACATTTTGAAAACAACCCCAATATTTTTTACTTTCTGCTATAAAACATGTCCAATAAAAAATCGAATTCCTTCATAAATTTAGGCCAAAATGTATGCTCCTACATTTCTTTGGCAAAAAAAATCTCAATAGGTGTATATTGATTGGTTTGTGTGAACATTATAGAGTCACAAACTATGGTATAGATACTGGAATTGTTTTTATTATACTATTAATGACAGCAATAAGTGACTTATATTGGGATTACAATAGTGCAGTGGGCAATCTGACACTAACTGGCTCTGGGTGGGAACTGACTAACTGACACTGATATCACCAGTGACACTAATACAGTAATCAGTGATAATTCTATACACTTTCACTATACTAATGAAGGGGTAATATTAGGGGTGCACTGCAATTTCGTTGGCCGAAACGTTTTGGCCAAAAACACCCCTATCGGCTGTCAGCCTATATGACAAAAAGCACTGATACAGGTGCCGAATAAACCCTGCTCCTCGCTGCAGCCCGCCCCCCACCACCAGCCACCTCTCGGTAGTTCTCAGCAGTACCTGAGAAACCATTGAATGATCCTGGCGCTGGGCATAGAGATTTGTGAAGGAAAGATGGTCTCCACTCATGCCCTTGGAGGACCAGAGTGATGTCACTTCCAGTTCCAGCACTAGAGCAATGCTTTTTTTGATCTAATGCTTTACATTGCAGAGGAGAGATGTGGGGTCTTATTGACGCCATATCTCTCCATAAAGAGGACCTGTCACTAATTATTTCTATCACAAGAGATGCATGCATTTCTTGTGATAAGAATAAAAGCAATTAGAATTTTTTTAAAGGGACAGTGCAAATAAATAAATAAAAAAAACAGTTTAAAGTGCCCCCGTCCCCCCATGCTTGCATATAGTGGTGAACCACATAGTGCTGAACACATACGTAAGCAATGCCCACATGTGTAAACGTGTGTTCAAACCACAAATGTAAGGTATCGCCATGAACATCAGAGCAAGAGCATTAATTCTCGCACTAGACCTCCTCTGTAACTTTATACTACCAAAATGTAGACATTTTTAAAGCATCACCCATGGAGATTTTTAAGTACCGCAGTTTCACGCCATTCCAGGAGCGTATGCGATTTTAAAGCGTGACATATTGGGTATCTGTTTACTGGTCATAACATCCTCTTTCATATTTTACCAAAAATTGGGGTACATATTGTGGGGTTTTTTTGTTTTTTAATCAAAGTGTATTTTTTTCCAAAATATATATATTAATTTTTAAAAACTGCGCATTTTGGTTTTGGTTTTCGGCCAAGTGCATTTTAGAATTTTTGTTTTCTGCACCAGAATTTTCATTTCGGTGCACCACTAGTTAATATCTGGGAAGAGGCTAACATCTTGGATAATCAAGGGGTTAAGTGTGTGCTTAACAAGTGTTAATTTGTGTAATGTATGCTGCTTTTTATTAAAAATCTCTGTTTCTTCGCCTTGCTTTACAAGGAGAAGAAACAGATAGATCATTCCCTCTGTACAGAGCTTTGTGTTGACAATCAATCAATGTGATTGGATACAGTCAATCAGCAGGTCCTGGCCATGAATCATTGAACAATCACAGCGGAAGTTGGCAGGCGGGGGCCCATGCATGCGCCATGTACTCAGAAGAGGCCAGCAATGTACAGGTACATTGTTGTGCCTGTATGGGCCACCCCTCTATGGTACATTGCAGTTGGGTGGTTAATGTATGTAGTTGTTCCTCATAACTGAGGTCCTTCATCCCTCTTATAAGCTTTGAATTGATATTTAAAGAATATAAACAATATGTAAACATTAACTGTATCCAAACAATCTGCCAGGCTTTACAATGGAAAAGTCAAAACAGCAAGACAAACTGTGATCACAACTAGGATTAGGACAGACCTGGAGAACCCGGTGCACAGTATATACACTATAGTGTCAAAAGTATTGGGATGCCTGCCTTTACACGCAGATGAACTTTAGTGGCATTCCAGTCTTAGTCTGTAGGGTTCAATATTGAGTTGGCCCACCCTTTGCACTTATAACAGCTTCAGGTCTTCTAGGAAGGTTGTCCACAAGGTTTAGGAGTGTGTCTATGGGAAGGTTTGACCATTCTTCCAGAAGTGCTTTTGTGAGGTCAGGCACTGATGTCAGACCAGAAGGCCTGGCTCACAGTCTTCGCTCTAATTCATCCCAAAGGTGTTCTATCGGGTTGAGGTCAGGACTCTGTGCAGGCCAATCAAGTTCCTCCACCCCAAGCTCACTCATCCATGTCTTTATGGACCTTGCTTTGTGCACTGGTGCGCAGTCATGTTGGATCAGGAAGAGGCCATCCCCAAACTGTTCCCACAAAGTTGGGAGCATGAAATTGTCCAAAATGTCTTGGTATGCTGACGCCTTAAGAATTCCCTTCACTAGAACTAAGGGGCCAAGCCCAACCCTTGAAGAACAACCCCACACCATAATCCCCCCTCCACCAAACTTTACACTTGGCACAGTGCAGTCAGGCAAATACCATTCTCCTGGCAATCACCAAACCCAGACACATTCATCAGATTGACAAACAAAGAAGTGTGATTCCTTACTCCAGAGAACACGTCTCACTGCTCTAGAGTGCTTGCTTTACACTTTGCATTGCACTTGGTGATGCAAGGCTTGATTGCAGCTGTTCTGCCCTGGAATTCCATTCCATGAAGCTCTCTATGCACTGTTGTGCTAATTGGAAGGCCACACAAAGTTTGGAGATCTTTAGCTATTGAGTCTGCAGACAGTTGGCGACTTCTGTGCACTGTGTGCTTCAGCATATGCTGACCCCGCTCTGTCATTTTACGTGGCCTATCACTTGGTGGCTGAGTTGCTGTTGTTCTCAGTTGCTTCCACTTTGTTATATTACCACTAACAGTTGACCGTGGAATATTTAGTAGCAAGGAAATTTCGTGAATGTACTTTTGCACAGGTGGCAACCTATCACGGTACAACCCTTGAATTTACTGAGCACCTGAGTGCGATCCATTCTTTCATAAATGTTTGTAGAAGCAGTCTGCATGCCTAGGTGCTTGATTTTATACACCTGTGGCCATGGAGGTGATTGGAACACCTGAATCCAGTCATTTGGAGGCGTGTCTCAATACTTTTGGCAATATAGTGTATATTGCATGCCTATGCCATTGTCCTTGTATCTTCAAAATACTAATTACTGTACAGATCCATGCAGGGACAAACAGTGCAGGGCAGAAAGGATCACAGACAGCCTGAATTGTCAATTGCAAGGAGCCAGCCACCATATTTTTCACAGACAATTACTCCTGTCCACAGATTTTTGTGAATGGAAGAAATCAGGGTATTCTTTACAAACTGTCTGTGAAAATATGGAGGGTTGGCAACCCTAGGTAAGAGGCCATAGTTCTACTTTAAATCAATGGCCTGCTAATGAAACAATGGGTAAAACGTAGGTCTAATAAGACCTGAAAATTACAGTCACATGGCTAAATAAGGAACTTACCTTGTGCAAAAGTTTGTGAATTTAGTGTTATATTGTGTTACTTAAAGTGATATTAAAGGCAGATGTTGCCACGTTCCAATGCTGATGAGGACAAGGGCCTCTACCCCTGCTCATCCACACAAAAAAGTGAAAAAAAAAATAAACACACTTACTAAATATACTTACACATTTGTGTTTTTAATATAGGGCTTTTTAACCGCTTCCTGTCTGCCCTATAGCAGAAATACTGTGCGCAAAATCACATATACAGTCATGGCCGAAATTGTTGGCACCCTTGATATTTCTCCAGGAAATCAATGTATTTCTCACGAAACGTATTGCATTAACACATGTTTTGCTATACACATGTTTATTCCCTTTGTGTGTATTGGGACAAAACAAAAAAAGGGAGGAAAGAAAGCAAATTCGACATAATGGGGCTGGACAAAAGTATTGGCACCCTTTCACAACTGCGGATAAATAAGAATGTTACAAGCATGTGATGCTCCTGTAAACTCACCTGGGGCAAGTAACAGGTGTGGGCAATATAGAAATCACACCTGAAAGCAGATAAAAAGGAGAGACGTTCACTTAACCTTTGCATTGTGTGTCTGTCTGTGCCACACTAAGCATGGACAACAGAAAGAGGAGACGAGAACTGTCTGAGGACCTGAGAACCAAAATTGTGGCAAAATATCAACAATCTCAAGGTTACAAGTCCATCTCCAGAGAACTAGATTTGCCTTTGTCCACAGTGCGCAACATTATCAAGAAGTTTGCAACCCATGGCACTGTAGCTAATCTCCCTGGTCGTGGACGGATGAGGAAAATTGATGAAAGATGAGCAGAATAGTCCGGATGGTGATAAGCAGCCCCAAACATGTTCCAAAGACATTCAACAGGCTCAGGAATCAGTGTCAGCAGGAGTCGCGAACTATATCCGTCGACATTTAAATGAAATGAAACGCTATGGCAGGAGACCCAGGAGGACCCCTGTTGCCAAAATGTACTTGAGTAAGCCAAAAGCCTTCTGGGAAAACGTCTTGTGGACAGATGAGACCAAGATAGAGCTTTTCGGTAAAGCACATCATTCTACTGTTTTTACAAAGAACAAAACACAGATGGTACTATGACCCCAAACACTTGGTAGTCAAGTCTAAGCACTCAGAAATGGATGGCAAAGAAGCGCTGGAGAGTTTCTGAAGTGGCCAGGCAATGAGCCCAGATCTAAATCCCATTGCTGTTGGGAAAAGTGGAGCTGTTTGCAGCCCAAAAAGAGGTGTCAGAAGCTTTGCAACCAAATATATAAGAAAAATAAGGGCCAACAACTTTGCATACAATACTTTTGTCTACTTAGGGGGCCAGTAGCCGTGCCGCCATTTGCAGCCGCAGCTTCAAGTCATCGGGCCCCGCGTAATTAACCCCCAAGCCTGGTACTTTCCAACGATCGACCGACCTGGGAGGAGGACTGTTTTGCTTTACTAGCAGTTTTCCTCTGTCAGCTCGGGCTCACTGCTCTGGATGGCTGTCGCACAGCACAGCCATCCAGAGAGCAAATGTGATTACAGTGAAACACACACAAGATAGAGCTTTTCGGTAAAGCACACATTCCTAGGTACAAAGAACAAAACAAACCTCAATGATGTTTTGGGGTTGTTTTGCTCCCTGCACACAGGTTAAATCTGAGGATTACCTTGATCGCCCTTCAAAAGCTGTTAACCAATGCCAAAAGCATTAGTACAGTGTCAGCAATGCCCTTTATTTGTAGCACTGATCACAAAGGAAGAGTGTCCAAAATTCCGGGTATTCAGAAGCTTATTGTGGTCGACTGATTTCAGTTATGTTTTCCAAAGGGTGTGCAACCAGTTGCCAATACAGCCCAAGTCAGCTTTTTCTCCCATACCAGTTTCATGCAAATGTTCACTTGATTTTCGAAAAATATCAAGCCAACAATTTCGGCCATGACTGTATACACATTATTTTGCATTTCTACTTAGGGGGCGCGAGTTGCCTGCCGATTGCAGCCGCAGCTGTCAATCATCGGGCCCCGGCGGTAATTACCCCCACGCCTGGTAATTTCCAACGATCACCGACAGGGAGGAGGACTGTTTTGTTTACTAGCAGTTTTCCTCTGTCAGCTCGGGCTCACTGCTCTGGATGGCTGTGCACAGCACAGCCATCCAGAGCAATGTGATTACATACCCACCTAGTAAAACTCTCCCTGCACACAGTAAACTCCTTGATCGCCCTTCATGTTAACCATGCCATTAGTACAGTGTCAGTGCTTTATTTTAACTGATCAATTGGTGTCACTGGAATGTTGACACAATCAGTCCCCAGTTTGAATGGCAGTCCCACTAAAATTTTGCCGTTTTAAAAAGAAAAAGTATACTGTATATACCACCATTTGTATAATGTTCAAGTAAACCAAAATTTACATGTATTTGGGATTTTGTTTTTTGGCAAAATACATTTTGGCAAATTTATGGCCGAAACTTGATTTTTTAAATTGTTTTTACTGGACAAGTTTAATAGCAAAATGTCAAAAATAAAGTTTGAAAATATTGATCAAATACCACCTATAGAAAGCTCAATTCGTGGGAAAAAAAAAGTAAACTTAGCATTTTGGGTGTAGCATTGCATGACCGCGCAATTGTCAGTTAAAGTAACGCAGCGCCGTAACAAAAAATGGCCTGGTCAGGAAGGGAGGTAAATCCTCTGGAACGCAAGTGGTTAAAAAGTCTCATGATGTAAACTGATCATCAATCACATACAGCAAAGCAGATCCACGTCAATCATGATGAACAATGTCCATCAAAAGGAAGAAATCATGATGACCTCTGACACATCCAATCATGTTGCTGATTTAGGCTGAATGACTTTTCCTAGGGCCAGCCACTAAAAGTAAGCAGATAAGTGGAGTCTCCCAGGTGGCTAATTGAGCAAATATGGCCATGGCCATGTGGCCAGTGATGTCACATTCTCCCGGCCATCAATGTTTGCTTTGGGTAAATATCCATGTTTGGACCTATCAAGCCGAGCAGTGGACGGGACCCACAGGAATAACAATAGAGACTGGCTATACACATTTTAATTGGCAAACTCTATAACATAAAAGAATAGTTTAGTTTTTTGTTTTTAGATTTTTGCACACAAAAACATAGGCATCATTTAATACATGACTAGCATATTTTAACAAGCATACAATGCCAACCACCTCTGCTGGCTATTGTTAGATATATAACATGCCTACTGAGTAATGGCCGAAACAGTTCCTGTAATCACTGCAGTTTGGTGCATATATCTCCTCAATTGGCAGCTGCACAGCTAGGTGTCAAATTTGCCAATGAGTTCAAAACTGCTTTGTATTTTGCTCCTGGCAATAATTTCAGCGTGATAGGTATGTTCTCACTACAATACAAACTGTGAAAAGATCCAAAATACAATACTTGCTTAAAGGCACTATCTCTAAGAGACTTAAAGTATATCTACAGCCAAAACATTCTGTTCTTAGTTTTGTAAACAGTAGGGCATGCCGTGTGTACCCCACTGGAGGTTTTGTGCTTCACTTTCAGTCTTGTAGACACAACAGGAAGTGAAAGGAAATCTTTCCAAAGTGAAGTTGGTAAGTAGAAGTACAGGTGTACCTCGGTTTACAAATGCCTTAGTTAACGTAATTTTCAGTTTATGAAATGAAAATCCATTGAAAATAATGCCTCGGTTTACAAATTGTTTTCGCAATACGAAGTGAATGTCGGTGCCAATTTTTAAATGCAATTGCCAGCTTTTTTTTTTCTTCACTATAGCTCACTGAATTAGCTGTCACTTTCCCCGGAGATAACGGAAACTTTGTTTCTTTTATCTCAGGAAACAAACTAAAAGGAAACAATGTTTTTTTTAACTCAGGGAAATAAACTAAAAGGAAATATCCTTTCTTTTAGCTGGGGGGAAAGTGACAGCTGATTCTCTAAGCCAGCCTTTCTCAAACAGGGTGCCCTGGGGTGCCTTGAGTTTTTTTCAGGGGTGCCTTGGCAAAATGTCTACAAATTGCCCAAAACTTGTATACAAGCCAGCGGGTGGAACAAGCCTGCATTTTAGTTACACAAAGACACAGATTTTCTTTGTGCGCCATTACAACCTTCTAGCCACTGGCGACTTGACAAGCAATGACATCATCAGTTGATAAGGAGGATGTCGGTCGCCTGCACAGCATCCTAGTTTGCCCCTCCCCTGCCCCTCTCCATCAGTGCTGAAGTCACTTTAGCTCAATGATGGAGAAAAATTAAGCGAGAAGTGAAACATGGGAATACTAGTCAGTACCAGTGTGCAAAGGTGTATTGGCTTTGTAAGAATAAATCACCTCTAACGTTGGATGTCCTACCGTGTGGATGTTGCTGCGTTATATAAAACTATTAGAATAGTTTTTCACATGATAGAATGGGGTGTCCTTTTAAAATTATGGACAGTCTTGAGGCACCCCATTTTAGAATGGGGTACCTCAAACCTGTCCATAATTTTAAAGGGTGCCTCGGGACTGTCCATAATTTAAGGGTGCCTCAAGACTGTCCATTATTTTAAAG